AAGGTGAGCTCCTTTGCGTACACTGGGAAGCCGCCGGGAATTTTTAGGATAGGGAAAGGTGAGCTCCTTTGCGTACACTGGGAAGCCGCCAGGAATGTTTAGGGTAGGGAAAGGTGAGCTCCTTTAGGTACACTGGGAAGCCACTGAGAATTTTTAGGGTAGGGAAAGGTGTCATCAAAGAAGTACTCTGGGGATGTTGATTTGGTCATATAGCATAGGACCAGAGAAAAGCAGAGAGCGAGGCCTGCCAACTGCCTGAAATCCGCTACCTTTCTTTAATGGCTGTTTGTGTTTGTCACACATGAATTTACCTAAGCTATTTTCACCTTGTATCACCCCTCTGTGAATCATGAGTTGTCTAACGTAAAGGCTGCTACCTACTGAACTAATATTTTAAATGTTCTATTTGTTTTTAAAACTACGGCCCCCACCCATTTTAGCATTCTACGATTTACTTGAGAAATCCTTGCTTGTCCTCACTTTGAATACAGATTTTTGTTTTTTGGTGAGTGTGATTTTTATAGACATCAGTCATGTAACTGATGAATTACCCTTTGTCTTTTGTTCTTTTATTCTGTCTTCAAGGACCTCAAGCTTCCTTCATCTTTTTGGTTGCTCTTCTCTCTATGGGTCCCATGGATCTGGCAAAGGTAGTGTACCCTTTCCTGAGGGGTCAATACAATCGCTGCTGCTCATTTCCAAGGACACTAACATGGCTGGTGTCTCCATATTCAAGGGGACGTGAACACACTGACTTGTTGGAAATGGTATAGACAATATGCTCAGATAACGCTGTGTGGAAAAGTCTCTGTGGTTGTCTGTTTCATGGTTTTCACACTAGATAGTAAACTTGTGGGTTTTGATTTAATGCAGCTCAAAAAAAAGCCCTAAGAATTGTAGTATATTTTCTATCTGAATTAAAGTTCTTCTGTACTTGCAATAATATCCTGCACAGACAGGAGATGTAAATTGTTATCTTTTTTAAAGGTATGACACTAGGAAGCATTTGACAAACTGAAATGCTTATTGCTCGTTAGGGCAATTGGATAAGACAAGTAAGATATATTTATTTAGTTATTCCTGCTATGCAGATGTCACAATCATTTGTGTGCCTTACATCTAAAATTAAAGGAAGAAAAAAGATTTACATTCCAGACTTCTGCAGAAACTAAATACGTGACTTCTCTCATAGAGTAAATATTAACACAGCCACAGAGAAACTGTCCTGTTTACTCTGTTTTAATATTTGTATTACAAAGAGTAATTTTAAAAAATCATTTTTAAATGAAAATTTTTACTAAGTTGCAACAGTATATTTTTCAAATGCATTTTCTAGTTTAAAAAACAAGAAAAATAATGTTGTTATCACAGATGCCCTTCTTCTGCTTTTCTTTGACCTTTCTGACTGTAAATCAACACACGTTTTGACCAGATTTTACTTGACTGTGTGGTACATAAGATCAAAAAGAGTTTCATTTACAGCTTGAACTTAGAAATTTTGACAAAAATCAAGTAATTCAGTTTAAGAAAATGAAATTATCAGCATTATATTTAGGTCTTGGCTCATATTATTTTCTCTAAACATCTGACTTTTCTGAAATATCTTTTTTACTAAAGTATGCAAAATGTACTTAGGTTTTTCTGAAATTGGTTTTGTGCATGTCAAGTTAGATATTGTCTTTAGATGAACTGATGTTTGTGATTCTTTTAAAGCACAGTATGACAAAATTATATATACTTTAAGATAAAAATAAATATAAAATGACAAATTTCAGTCTTCTAGTCTGACAAATATTACAAGTTTTTCCCATAGGAATGTGGCCAGTTTTCTGTATTTCCTGAAAAATTTTGCAATGTGCATGTATTACTTTTTAATCAAAATAATAAAGCTTTTGAAAAATAACATTATAACACTTAAAAATAGCTTGTTTACAAAGGTTTAAACCCTGAATTTCCAAAGAAGCTACTGTAAGATATAATGAAGAAACAAAAAATATAAAATGCTATTATTTTATATTTACTGACCTTCTTGGGTGAAGAACAAAATCCTTAAATGTATATGGTCGCTCCATTCTTGGATTTTCTGTCTAGAATAAAACAATGGCTTTTCAAGACATATCTCAAACACCCAAAACGTGTACTTTTCAAGAATATTCATGAACTATGACCTAGGGCATAAATGAAGTTAAAAATGAAAAAAAGTAATTTTAGTTTACTGAACGGTTACAAGTGGTGACTTGTCATGCTTTCACTTTCCTGCATAATATGAATTGCAGCCAGCATCACAACTAAGTGTAAAAGGAGCTGAACGAGTGGGTTGTGGAGGAGGGTAGAGGAGAACAGGTGGAAAAATAGAGTGGTTACTGTGCTGGCACCCCAAAGGAATACAGAAAATGCACAGTGTCAGCAGGTTGACTTGGACACAGATAACTCTAGAACAACAGAGGAAAGAGCCTGGAAAGTAAGACTGGACTGAACACATTATTAAAAGCTTACGATCTCTAAAGACTAGAGATCCAGTCAATGACCTCCAAAGACTGATAGAGTTTTTTTTTTTCTTATCAAATGCAGCAGCCCCTGTTCTGATTTTATTATCCCCTACTTTTCTGCTGCGTTTTGAATTGTTAACTACTCTTGCCATCTTGAAATTCCTTCCTTAAATTTTCACGACATTATCTTTTCTTGGTTCGCTTCCTAGCTCCCCTCGTCTGCCTTCTCCTTCCCCTCTGGCGAAGGTTCAGGGCTTGATCTTCTGCTAGCATGTCTTACTTGGAGGGCTAATCCTCCTCAGAGGTTCTGCTCTTACCTGACAGTGGTATCTCTCAATCTCTCCGGTCCCTTTTCCCTACACAATTTATCTTCATATCTTTCAGCTGCCCATTTTAAACTTTCCTTGGTCTTGTTTTCTATTTAAATTCAATATATCCAATAATAAATTTATTATATTCCAAAAGAAAATGGCTTTGTCTCCCAACTTTTCTACTGGAGACACCACCCTATCTTCCAAGTTCAACTTGCATTATCTTTACTTTTTGCTTAATCTCTTTCAACCTCCGTGTCAGACACTAGGTCCAATAATGTTTCACTCTGAATGTTTCCTTCACCGTTATCAGCCTCATCCAGATTCTGTGTTTCATGCCTATATTGTTGTAAACTCTCTTAGCTTCCTTCTCTGATCCTAGGCTCTCCCCATTATAATCATTGAGCAGAATATTTCCATGTTGATTTTCCTTAAACAATGCTTTCATGGCAACAACAAACTTCAGTGGCTCTCTATTTCTTACTGAGGCTCATGGAAGTTTGTCTTGAAGATAAAATTGAAATGGGAAAATTGAGAAGATAACATATTTAAGAATTAATAGCAATATACGTTTTATAAATCAAGTATTTATATTAACTATATGATGGATTTAAAAAGTATTTATCAAATTAAAAAGAATAAACACAAAAAGTAAAATCACAGGCATCTATACCAACCGGTAATGGATAAAGAGGAACATCCACTTGACCTAGGAAATCATCCCTTGTCTATAAGAGACGGAAGAAAAAATAAGATTAGTAATATGCTCAACTCTGTTAGAAGACTTTGATGAGCTATTGCCATCATTCATAGAAAATTTAGAAGTTTCCAAAAATCCTACATACCATGAATGAAACATAGAAGGTAATGTGATACAACTTTTGGTAATAGCAGAATAGTGTACATTAGACTAATCCTCCTGCAGATAATAACTGTACACTCCGACCAAAAAAAAAGTATTTGAAGGCACCAGAGGGTGACTAAATGCAAGCAGAAACTGGAAGGGAATCAATCCTTGCAAGAAGGAACTGCACACGGTAGGATTCATATTTATATAGCTTTTCACCTGGTAGTACTCCATAGTTCACATGGTGTGGAGCAACTAGAACTCAAGCAGAAATCTGCAATCTTACTGGCTTGAGATGTCAGAGAGCCTAGTTTGGGGTTGACTGCATAGCTGGAAAATAAATGGGAAAATCCCAGAAAAGAAGGAGCCACAGAAGGTCTCCTAAATCTCTATATAAACTCTACCCAAATCCCTACTTGATACCAGAACTGTACATGTGAAAAGCAACAGCTGGAAGGTTTCAAAGAACTGAGTAGACATTTCAATTGATATTGTCCAAACGGATGACAGCGTTTGGAGTTTGAATTCAGCTAAGATAACTTCCTGCTAGCACAAAAATCAACACTCTTCAGAGAAAGAGACCAAAATTCTGAGTCTCCAAAATATGCTATCCACACTGTCAAGCATACAATGAAAAATTACTATACATGCCAAGAAACAGGAAAATATGACTCAAAATCCAGGGAATAGGTAGTCAACAGAAACTAGCCACAAGATGGCCCAGTATCTGGATTAGCAGAAAGGAAATTTAAAGCAGCTATTATAAAGATGTTCAAGGATTTAAAAGGAAAATAAGTTCATAACGAATGAAGTGATGAGTAATTCAGCAGTGAAACAGAAACTATAAAAGAGAATCAAATGTATATTTTAGAACTGAAAAACGTAAGATCTAAAATAAAAATCACTGACTGAGCTCACAGATGATTGATGACAACTGGAAAAAAGTTCAGTGACCTTGAAGATATATCAGTTGAATTTATCCAATATGAAGAATAAAGGGGGCTTGGGGGAAAATATCAAACAGTCTAACATATGTTTAACTGGAGTCACAGAAGAAGAGGAGAGAGAACAAGGCAGAAAAATACTTGAAGAAAAAACAGCTAAAACTTTCCTATATTTAGAAAACCACAAGCTTAGACATTCAATAACTCAGCAAACCTAAGCAGGGTAAATATAAAGAAAACATAGGTAGGCACACCATAATTAACTAGCTGAAAACAACGATAACAAGAAAATCTTAAAAGCAGCTAGATAAAAACAGCACTTTACACACAGGAGAACAATAAAAATGATGGCTGACTTCTCCTAATAAACAACGGAATCTAGAAGACAACAGAATGAGATACATTAAATGCTGAAAGGAAAAAAAAAAAAGTGAACCTAGAATTCCACATACAGCAAAAAAATCCATCAAAAAATAAAAGCAAAAATGACATCCTTGGATGCACGAAGTAGAAATCATCTGTCACCAGCACTACAAGATATGCTAAATGAAGTTCTTCAGGCTGAGAGTAAGTGGCCCCAGATGAAAAGTCAGATGTAAAGAGAAGAATGAAGATTAGCAGGAATGCTATATATCTGGGTAAAAACAAACAAACAAACAAACAAACCCCTTCTATTAATCTCTTAAAAGACAAACTTCTATTTACAGCAAAAATACGCTACATTATGGGTTCAAAACATACACAGGTGTGGCACAAATGACAACACAGCACAAAGGACTGTTGTAAAACTCTTACATTTTGTATGAAGTGGTACAACTGTGATAAGTTAATCATTAAGCTAATCAGAGCTATAGCTAAAAAGCCAAGAGAGAGAGGAATTAAAATGGAATATTACAAATATTTGAGTAATCCAAAATAAGTCAGGAAAAGAGAAAGAGAGAAGCAAAAAACAGATGGGACAAACAGAAATAAACAGCAAAATTTCAGCACTAAATCCAACCATATGAATTATTACATTAAATATAAACAGACTAAATACTCCAATTAAAGAGATTGTCAGACTGAAATAAAATGAAAGACCCTACTATATGTTGTCTATAAAACACACGTCATCTTACTATTTAAAAAAATATTTTATAAAATATTTTATTTTTCATTCTGCAATAATTTTAGGCCTATAAAAATTGCACAAATAGTGCAAAGAATTCCTATATACTCTTTACTTAGCTTCCTCAAATGTTAACATCTTACATAACCATCATACAATTATCAAAACCAGGAAATTAACATTGCTATAATACTACAAACTAATCCACAGACTCTAAACTTCATCAACTGTTCAGTTAATTTTGGTCCAGGATCCAATCCAGGACCACACATTGAATTTAGTTGTTATGTCTTCTTATGCCAAAAAACCAAACCCATTATCATTGAGTAGATTCCAACTCATGGAGACTCCTTGTATTACAGAGTAGAACTGCTCTATCAGGTTTTCTTCCCTGTAAATCCTTACAGAAGCAGATCACTAGGCCTTTCTTCTGCAGTGCTGCTGGCTAGATCTGAACTGCCTGCCTTTAGGTTAGCAGCCAATTGCAAATCATTTGTACCATCCAGGAATATGCCATGCCTCCTCTATTTCCTTTAATGTGGAAAGTACCTCATTCTTTCTTTGTCTTTAATAATCTTGACATTTTGAAGAGTACTGGCAACTTATAGAATGTCCCTCAATTTGGGTTTTCCGATGTTTTTCATGGTTTAAGAAGGTATGCTTTTTTGTTTTGTTTTGTTTTTCCAAGAATACCATAAAAGTGATGCTGGGTCCTTCTCTGCATCATATCATGAGGTACATGATATTGATTTGTCTCATTACTGGTGATACCAACTTTGATCATTTGGTTAAGATGCTGTCTGCCAGCTTTCTCTACTTTAAAGTTAACATTTCCCCCCCTTGTAATTAATAAGTGTATGTCGGAAGATGGTTCAAGGAATGTAAATATCCTGTTTTTCATCATATTTTGCTAACTTTAGAATCTACTGATGATTCTTGCTTGCAACAATTATTACTGTGGTGTTTGCCAAACGGTGATTTTAAACTTCCACTATTCCTTTTACATTTATTAAGTGGAACTCTGCTGAAATGAAGAACCTTCCCACTCTCCCCATTTATTTATCCAATTATTTATTTATGTTAGCCTGGACTTATTAATATTTATTTTATCTTATGAAATATAATCCATTACAGCCACTTATTTGGTTATTCAAATTGTTCCAGATTTAGCCATTAAGAGGCTCTTCAAGGTAGTCTCTGAATTTTTGACAGGTCTTCATTATTATTATTATTATTATTGTGCTTTAGATGAAAGTTTACAGACCAAATTAGTTTCTCATTAAAAAATTAATACACGAATTGTTTTGTGACATTAGTTGTCAACCTCGTGATATGTACACACTCTCCCCTTCTCCACCCTGGGTTCACCATTTCCATTCGGCCAGTTCTCCTGTCCCTTCCTGCCTCCTCGTCTTTGCTGTTGGGCTGGTGTGTCCATTTAGTCTTGTATACGTGATTGAACTATGAAGCAGGTTCCTCACGTGTGTTGTTGTTGGTTTTATAGACCCGTCTAATCTTACGCTGAAGGGTGAACTTCGGGAGTGACTTCTGTACTGAGTCAAATGGGTATCTGGGGGTCACACTCTTGGGGGTTCAGTCCTCTTTATTTTTTAAGCGCTTCTGTACGTTCTGGCACCACAAGGTGTTCTATGCTTACCTTAAACTTTCCCTATCCTGAAATCTCAAAAGAAGGAAATAATGAAGGGCAGAAACTAGTAAAATAGGAAATAGACAACAGAGGAAAAAAAAGGCAAAATTTGGTTCTTTGAAAACATTAGTAAAATTGATAAACATCTCGCAAGACTGATCAAGCAAAAGAGAGAAAACTCACCTAAGCAATATCAGAAATGAAAGATGGGGTATCATCAAAGATCCTAAACGCATGAAAAGGATAATAAGGGAATATTACAGTCAACTTCATGCCAATAAACTTAACTACATTGGTGCAACGATCAAATTCCTTGTAAAATGCAACTCACCAAAACTGATGCAAGATGAAATAGAAAATCAGAATAGCCTTGCATCTATTGAGGGACCAGTGCCTGGAAAAGGACATCATGCTTGGTAAAATAGAGGGTCAGCGAAAAAGGGGAATACCCTCAATGAGATGGAGTGACACGGTGGCTGCAACAATGCGCTCAAGCATAACAATTATGAGGATGGCGTAGGACCAGGCAGTGTTTCGTTCTGTTGTACATAGGGTCGCTATGAGTCAGAACCAACTCAACGGCACCTAACAACATCATATCTATTAAACAAAGTGAATTTGTTATTAAAAACCTTATTACAACCAAAGGCCCAGACAGTACACTGGTGAATCCTATCAAACATTTAAGGAAGGAATAATACCAGTCTTATATCAATTCTTTCAGAAAACAGAGAAAGATGGTACATTTCCCAGTTCATTTTATAGAGCCAGCATAACCCTGATTCCAAAAACTGATAGTCATTACGAGAAAAGAAAATCACAGGCCAATGTGTGTCATGAATATAGACACAAAAATCCTTGAAAACACATTAGCAAATGGAATTCAGCAATATATAAAATGGTAATATATTATAACCAGGTGGGGTTTATCCCAGGAATTCAAGGTTAGTTTAACTTTAGAAAATCAATCAATGGAACTTACCACATTAAAAGAATAAAGGAGAAAGACCATATGACCATCTCAATAGCTACAGAAAAGGCATTTAACAAAAATTAATGATAAAAACTCTCCGCAAAATAGGAATGAAAGGAAACTTTCTTAATCTGATAAAGGGCATCTACAAAAAGCCTACAGCTAACATCATACTTAATGGTGAAATACTGAACGCTTTCCCCCTGTG